TTTTTTCGGGCGTCGCTCTCTTCAATTATTTTAATTCATAGTGCTTCCGGTGTAGGTAATTCATCGCGCGACTCGATGGCACATCGGAAGTTTTCATATTGCGACGGTAGACTGTATAATAATAAAATCGCGAGCAGATCGGGATTTATGATTACTTCCATTTCGGTTAGTTTATCTACTGCGTCGAAGAATGTACGAATATGTTCGCGCACGTCTTCCCCGTCCGCCATTTTTTGTAATGCGAGACGTTTCAGCAGCGTTGCTTTTCGGGCAGGACCCTTGGATTGATATATCCCTTCCAATCTCAGCCAAATTTCTCGAGATGATGTGCAGCCTTTGATCTGCTTCAATTCGCTCGGGTGAATTGAAAGGATGAGATCTGACATTGCCTTATTATCGTTGTCGTCCCATTCCGCACGAGCTTGGGCAGATATCCCATCGTCGCCGGCAACTAGTTCCGTTTTCACGTCGGTTCCATTCACATATTTCCATGCGTTGTTCTTCACCAATATTGCTTGCATCTGCATTTTCCAGGTGTCGTAATTGTCTTTATTGAGCGTTTCAATACGGCTCACAGCGGACACATTCATTGTGAGTGTCGTTTTCTTTGATGCACTTGATCACTGAGAATCTCACTCACTTTTTCACTTTAATACGAACACTTATTGCGAATCGTTGCCTGGGCCCATAACCTGTTGAGAAGGGATCGCGACGCAGGGAAGACTCGAACTGTTATTGTTTTTATTATGCATACAAAAGATGAACATCCCGGTGGTAGAAACGCCATCTGTGGTCAGCGATAGCGTATCGTTAAAACGATTTCTCAATAATAAATACAGCTTTTGATATATAACATATATACCATTTACTAATAAAACTATTCAGGTGAAAATTTTTCTCAGAATTTTTAATATAATTTTTCAGAATTTCTATATAATTTTTCAGAATTTCTGTATATAACTTTCTCACATTTTTTATACGAATTGAAATATTTCTCAGGAAATCTACATCTTTTCTCAAAATTTTTCCTATATGTTAATTATAAAATATCGTAAAATTTTTAAGATTTTTTGTAAGTATAATTTTTGATGAAATGTTCTAAAATCTAAAAAATTTAAAAATATTTTTTAAAAATTATGGGATGAGAAATTTCAGAATATTTCAGAATTCACTTGTATAAAAAATGAGAGAAGATGTAAACTTTCCGAATATTTCTGAGTATTTCTGAAAATTAATTCCAATTCATATAAAAATATTAAGAAAAATTTTCACCGTGGTATGTATATATAACTATAGTATATATATCATTTATATCTTTCACAATAATCAATGTCAGCTAATAATCATTAACTAACCTGTTATTTGATCAATAGAAGTTGTAACGTCTTAAGTCGTAGAAAATTGACAAATCATAATCGATTATTCTTTTCATATTCAACTGTGATTAATTTTCTACGACTTAAGACTCTATGACTACCGCTACAAATTCTATCGTATCCCGCATTACACAATAAGACCGCAAGTCGTAAACCGTAAGAAATTAATCAGCCAATCGTCAGGGTTAAGGTTGACGATGCCACCCAAAGTCGATTAAACTAATAAAATCAGTAAATAATTTTATTAAACTCTATCACTTTTGTCTAAGACATTTTTCTCAAAAATGTATAGGTATACTTTCCGAGATATTAGACTGTTACCATATTTTTGGTATTTTTAAATGCTTATTACTCGGCTTCTAAGGCCCATTAACGAGAATGACTTTATAGGTGTTCACTTGGTAGACTCCTCTAACATTGTTGCAAGTTTGATCAAAATCGATGAAGAGCAGAGCGTAGCCTCTCCTTGTCAATGAATTCACATATATGTGAAGTCGGCCGATACTGCTGGATCAGTGAACTCACATGTCGCACATGTGAGTTCGGCCGCTAACCATTAGCTCAACGAATTCACGTATATTGTCAAAACTGTTAATAACGACATGCATACGACAAGCCATTTTATTTAATAGTGTATGTCCGAACGTCTGGAGACGTTCTCGCGAACGCGTTCATGCACTTCGATCCGCAAAAATGAACAACACGGATATTATAAAAAGGACAAGAAGAATGTATTATGAAATGAACACAGAACACACACGCACGCACGCACGCACGCACGCACGCACGCATGCACGCACGCACGCACGTAAAGAGCACACAATCGAGAGACACGTCCGAGCGCAGCGACGACTCACGTCCAAATCTGCCGATCTTGTTAAATAACAGAGCCACGTGTCGCTGGGCAACTCGACTTTCATGGCGATCTACGATGTCAGCACGGACATAACAATAGTATAAAATATTTGTAGGATTTTGGCAGAGGAAGGAAACACGTACATACTCTTGATAATCTTACAAAAGATGTTTAACACAAAAAGTTTACAAGGCGTTTGCAGAAAATGTTTTCTCTCGCTCATATCGTATTACTCTCTACTCGCAGGACGCCTGCCAAGCTCCTTATATCATAGTTCTTTTCGAACCCGCGGCGTGGCACTTGTGACAATTACCATGCGACGCCAAATCACTCTCTTGGGTATATTCAATTACTGCCGGACGCGACAAGTTGAGCGCACGCTACTTGAATGAATACAAAAGGAAATGAAAATAAACTCTCACATGTTCTACGATTAATATTGAAGAATTTTCAATTTTTTTAATCATTGAATTATAATATGATATTATATGATAATTAACATTAAAAAATTTTTTCCTTTATGACACGTAATGCTGATAGATTTTTTTCCGTAGATTACATATTCATATTTGAAAATGCTCTAGTATTTTAGATTTTTGAAAAAAAAACGGGATTGAAAAGTAAAAAACCGCGTGTTTGTCATTTTTTAAGATGTTATTAAAATGAAACATGTCATAGAAATTCAGATAATAATTCAAATGAAAACTCGAATCTTAAATTATAACAATAAAATAAAGATAAATAAGTAACATGACAATATTTTTGTAGCAATTTAATAGAAATTGAGGCTCAAGTGAGATAAATCAAATACAATATAGTTGCCTTAAAAGGTTCTTGACTACTCAGTCAAGAACTCTGCGTTGACGGTGGCGACACAAATCACGGCGATCTGACGAAACCGGTAGTCACACACTTAAGCACGAACTCATGTCCGTGTGCTCGTCTGCGACGCACTGAGAGTGAACGAGATAGCGAGCTCCTTCTCACACTAATAACTTATTTCAAGCGACCGAAAATGCTTTCTCAGCAATCTAGGTAGGTATTTCGAATAATACTACATTTTTTACACCGAATTTTTTTCCAATCAATATCTTTCGTTTTATAACAAAAAACTTTTTGCAACTATTTGATTTTTTTCTCATATTTTCTTCATAAGTCTCGAGTTTCGAACAAACGTATTTCTTTTCTGATGGTCTTTCGAGACTTTCGTGAAAAGAAATGCTGATTTAATTCTGGTAAAATTCTATTTCTATTCTTGCTACTCGAGTTTATAAAGGAGAGGTATACTATATAACGCGCATGAAAAATTGTAAACAATGAAATATCTCATAAACTGTTGCGTTTTAATATGATTTATTCTGGATTAAGGGGAAGGGTACACTATTACTACAAAATTTATTAAAACTTATATGTTAGTTAGAATACCCTCCGCTCCGTATTGATACCTAGGGCGGCCGAGCGCCCGAGATTACCGAGAAAGTATTTTCGGTCGCTTGAAACAAGCAACTAGTGTGAGAAAGAGCTCGCTGTCTTGTCCACTCTCGGCGCGCTATGCTCGCCGCAAGCGAGCACACAGATATGGGCTCGTGCTTGTTATATGTTACAGCGCCGCACCACGATAAATGGCTGAACTTATAGGCGTGGAAAAGTGACGTTTTGACGACGAAATTTATGTTGCGTGCCATTTGTTGTTATTTGCTTAATTGTGAAAATATAATTTGTCTCGTACTTATTAAAGTCATAATTATCAATGAAAATTAAAGTTATCTTGGAATTTTATATGTTAAAGCGTATATTTTATTCGTTTCAACAGCTGTCGGATCGTGTGTTTCTGCCCGAATGTAGGTTCATTTTACGTACCTTTTACGACCATTTATTGACGGTCAAGAGAGGAAAGGACAATTTTCGTCGATTTTTAAAGTGTTTTAAAGTGATCTCTTTTCGTTTCATCCAAATTGTCTTAATTTAAAAATGGCACGCAACATAAATTAATGTGTCATTCTTCGCTTCTGACGTCACGATTCCAACATGGCCGCCGTAACTAGGGAGCCTTAAGAGTCAGGCACAAAGTATTAATGTGTATAATTTTAATTTATTTGATTAATTGGCTAATAAATATTTCGACCCATGCTTAGGATCCTTTTCAATGTAAAGTATAGTGAGTCCGATGAAATTGATAATTTTGTAGCACAGAGTTTTTGAGGAACGCGCACTAATTATAACATACGCATGCCATCTGTACTATCTTCCTATATAAATTAATTGTTTGGAAAACGCCAAAATCTTATGATTATAATAATAATTGATTATAGTTAATATAAAGTATGGTTCCTTTGGATTCGTTTATGCAGTTACTGCCGCAGATATTCGTTTATTCTACCTGCGAAGGCGACTGCAGCGCAGTTTATCATTCGTTTACGCTATACCATCTGCGCAGCTATCTCGAAGGTCCTGCTCAGGGTGCTCTACTCGCAGTACTGCGTAAACGAACGACAAACTGCGCTGCAGTCGCTTTTGCAGATTGGATATATCTTGTTGTTATAGCTAATGTATTATTAAAAATGAATTTTATTAAAATATTAAAAAATGAAGAAGAAGGAATTGAAGTAAGAAACAATTTGTTGAAATCAATCCTATTAAAGTGAAAATAATGCAACATAAGATATGTAATGCAAAAGCTGTGAAATTTGTTTTAATTTGTATTTGTGATTAGATTAACCTAAAAATCGCACCTTTTGGATGTAGATTGAAAATATCAACGCACATAAGAATTATGAACTTTTTATAAATAAATTTTATATTTTGGGATTTATTATTTCTGGATTTGTCATTTAAGCCTAATTTCACAATTCATGATTAACTCTTAACTGAAGTTTAACTTAATTTTTCTCTCTCGAATTTTAACATTAGAAAGAGATGAGGAATATGTTGAAACTCAGTTAAGAGTTAACCATGAGTTGTGAAACCAGCGTTCTATTTTTTAGCACATATGATAATTTTCGCATACGAAAATGACAGTCGATTATGATTGATCGATTGTATACGGAATTGCTATTTCCGTATGCGTTATTTGTTCGGAATAGGGCTCCTGGGCCTTAATTTTCAATCAACTCAGTCCAGATTTTCTATTGGAAGATATGATTCAATACGATACGAGCAGCTATTCGTGCAGAGATCCATTCGGTAAATTTAGGTCATGTGATTAGCGGATGAGAAAGTAGTGGATATGCTATTCACTGCATAAACGAATGCACCCTTTTAGATATTCTTCAGACAATGTTTTACATTGATCATAAATTGCATGTACATAAATACATACGTATACACTGACACATATGTTAAAGGACTCTATAATTACTTCTGTGTTTTATGTATAATTCTTATATTCATATGTATTTGAAATAATGTGAAATGAACGACAAACGTGTAGTTCGTATGCTCTTAAAAAAATCTGCTACAAAGAAAGTTTATCATGTTTATTTATCTTTAGTTTATAGTTGTAGTTTAAGGTTTGAGCTTCCATTCGAGTTAATATCCAAATTTCTATGATGTTCTATTTTTTAAACAACTCAAAAAGTGATCAAAAGCACGTTTTTTAAATATTTTTTCGGTTTTTCTAAAAAAGGCTTGATGTGCTGAAGCGGATTTTCAATTAGGAATTCGTCATCTGAGGAAAAAACTTATTGGAATCATCTGCCACATGTATAGTGAAAAAATAGGATAATTTATTTACTTTAGCATATAATCCAAGAAGGGGATTTGGTTTACCATTTATCTACATTCATTCATACCCTACTCGCCTATCTTCTACTATTCGTTTATCTTCTTTAAGTTCGCTTAATTCTAATTTCTAATTTATATTATTTTATCTTATTCTACCTTCTTTTATTTGCTATTTTAAAATCATAGCCTTATTCTCACTAGCCCTATTCTCAGTCTATGTTATCTTACTCACTTTTACTTCGGACTTCTTTGTTTATTTGCATTTCCTTACTACATTGTTATATTATTATTTATTCTCTCTCTCTCTCTCTCTCTCTCTCTCTCTCGACAAGATGGAAGAATAACAATTACATTGATCAATTACATATAAAACATATAAAAATCTGTATGTATCTGATGGTGTTCTGCTGAGGGCTTATGCGTTGCGAAGATAAAGAGAATTGCCCTTTAAGAATCATAGTATCTTATATTGACAATTCATTATATTATCTTGCGTTATTTATTCAAAATATCATCGAACATAGTATTCCAAAACATTTCAGCTACATTAAAAAAACTGTTAAAAACATTTAAAACAGTTAAAAACAGTCGATTGGTTAACAGGCTAAATGATGTAGAGTTCGATGAGGGATATAAACTTGTATCTCTGGATGTAGTACCGATGTTTACTAATATACCGAAGGATTTAGCCTTAAATAGCATAAAAAAATGGGGTTATATTTTTGATCATATTCACATTGCAATGAAAGAGTTTTTGTTAGCCATCTCTTTAATTATGGATTCAACTTATTTTACTTTTAAAAATATAATTTATAAACATATTCGGACGCCTATACTTTCCGCTATCACTGATTATAGTGGACATTGTTTTACAGAATCTCGGACATGGTATACTTGAATATCAATCTCCCCTTTTATTTTCGACAACATTGTTTCCGCTGCACCATCTAAATAATTAGATTTAATTCCTCATAAATTTAATTCATACCATGAAAGATTGCAATTTAAGATGGAAATTGGTACAGACAGGATTAATTACTTGGATATTATTTTGATAGTGAAGAAGGGATGCATTTAGTTTGACCTGTACACCAAACCCACAAATTCTGACAGGTATCTCAGTTTTCACTCAGATCATCCATTTGAACATAAAAAAATTCTGATTACAGATTTGACTATTAGAATTACATTGTCACACTCAAAATTCCAGGCCAAGAATGTAAAAATAATAGCTAACATTTTGTTAGATAACGATTACTCCTTGGATCTGGTTTTCAATATTATTAACAGCATAATTAATAAACTTGGAACAAGAAAATTACAGGAAGGCAAAGTGTGGTTGTCGATGTGACGTTAGAGAATAAAAAATATTTTTTGGTCCTACATATTAACAATTGTGCATCAAGTTTAACAAACTGTTGCCCGAAAGCACGGATGCCTTCTCAGTTATAAACCTATAAACTCCTTGAAATAATTTATAAAAAGGAAAGAACACTTAGAAAAAAAAACAGAAGTGAATTTATAAAATAGATTGCAAAGATTGTGACACGAGTTACGTGGGATAGACTAAACGTCAATTGCAGACTAGAATTAAAAAACATTCAGCAGATATTAATAAATCCTCGAGTGCCTTATCAGTAATTTCTAGCCATAGATTGGAAATGAATCTCAGTTTTG